TAGATTTGAGCAATATTCTTTTATGATTTTGCTGAAAATCTTTTTTGTACATTTAAACTAGGTTTCTTCTAAACCTATGATTCAGAGATTTAATCTTTTTTTTAAGATTCCTTTTTTTCTTTGCTTTTTAAATTAAAAAAATATTTTATATGTGTAAGTGTATTGCCTACATGTGTGTAAGTGCACCATGCCGTGCAAGGAGGTCAAAAGAAGGCATTGGATCTCCTGGAACTGGAATTATGGAGGGTTGTTAGCAGTCATCTCAATTCTAGGAACTGAACCCGCGTTCTCTGCAAGAGCAACCAGTGATCTTAACCACCTAACCATCTCTCCAGCCCCTTTTTCTTTGCTTTTTGAGACAGGTTCTTTACTGTGTAGCCCCGGCTGGCCTGGAACTCACTATGTACACCAGGCTGGCCTGGACCTCACAGAGAACCCCCAGCCTTTGCCTTCCAAATATTGGGATTAAAGGCATGTTCCACCACCCCCATCCCCAAAAATCTGTTTTTAATATTTTATTTTTAAACTTTGTGTATGTGTGGAGGATACACATGAATGTTGTGTTGGCAGAGGCCACAAGAAAGCACCGTGCTTGGAGGTGGAGTTATAAGCAGTTTTGAGCTGTCCAATGAGGGTGCTGGGATTCAAATACTGGTGATCCTCTGCAAAAGCAGCAACCACTTAGACATCTCTCTAGCCCTTATAATGTCTCTGTTCATGGTTTGCCTTTTATATTTTTTGTAATTTATCATTTTCTTCACATGATCCAGTTCTTCTACCTTATCTTAGGTCCTGATATTCTCTTCCACTTGATCCATTGTGTTTGGTAAGGCTTTCCTTTGAACATTGTATTTGACTTTTAGTTTTTCATTTCAAGTTTTATTTTGGTTTAGGTTTTTAAAAATATCATTATTATTATGTAGACCAGGCTGGCCTTGAGCTCACAGAGATACGCCTGCCTCTGTCTCCCAAGTGCTGGGATTAAAGGCGTCCGCCACCACATCCGGCTTAAAAATATTATTTTTATTTTACGTGTATGAGTGTATTGCCTGCATGTGTATAAGTACAATGCCCTCGGAGGTCAGAAGAGGGTGTCACATCCCCCGGAACTGGAGTTACAGATGGTTGTTAGCCACCATATGGGTGCTGGGAATTGAATCCAGGTCTTCCGCAAGAGTAGCCAGTATTCTTAACCGCTGAGCCATCTCTCCAGCCTCTAGTTGGGTTTTTTTGAGAAAGACTGTTTTATTAAAATTCTATTTTCATATCTTTGTTTTCCTTATTTCATTCAATTGTTTGTGTTTTCTTGGTCTTCATCCTGACATTTATTCATACCCCCTTTGAGTTGCTTGAACATATTTATAATTGCTATTTTGAAATCATTTTGTGTGTCATCAAAGTTGCTTTTTTTCAAGACAGGTGTGTTGGCTCACTTCCTTAATCCCAGCTCTCTGGAAGCAGAAGCAGGCAAATCTCTTGAGATCTGGGTTATCCTGATCTGCATAGTGAGTTCCAGGCTACCTGTGGCTACAAGAAAACCCTGTATCAAAAAGATTCCCCTAAAAGTTGCTTTTTTCAGCCAGCCATGCTGACACATGCCAGGGGAGGCAGGTGGATTTCTGGGAGTTCCAAGACAGACTGGTGTACATAGTGAGTTCCAGGACAGACTGGGCTACATAGTGAGACCCTGTCTCAAAGAAAAAAAAAGTTGCTTTTCTCAGGGAGCATTCCTATGGGAGCACTAATTTTGGAGGACATTTAAACTGGGTTTCTTCTAAACCTATGATTCAGAGATTTAATCTTTTTTTAAGATTCCTTTTTTTCTTATCTTATTTGTGTGGTTTGTTTTTTTGTAATGCGGCCTAGGCATCTGGAGTTTGTTTCTTGATAGTATCCTTTGGTATGGTTATCTGTCCCACCTTATCCTTTTGAAACAGAGTCTTTCTGTAGCTCTAGCTGGCCTGGAACTCACTGTGTACACCTGACTGGCCTTGATCTAATATTAGATTTAATATTTTTAAATGGTAGAGCATCAAGATCCACCTGTCCCCTTTTGCCTCATCCCTAATCTCTTGGGTTTCTTCTAGGTTTTAAAAAGTGCTAATGATATAATTCAGTTTTTTTAAATGGAATTCTTAGTGATACAGTAGTAACTATTTACTTAGCAAGAACTGATGCTGTGTCCTGAGTATGTCAAGGTCCTTTTACTCTCGAGACAGTAGCCCTGACTGGGTTTGATGGGCTTTCATACCATATAGTCCAGTGGGTAAGGAAACTAAGGTGTAAAATGGTTAAATAATTTGCTCAAAGCCATCTAATTTTTAAATTGCCAAGCCAGGACTAATATAGCTTCTTCCTAAGTCTTTAATATGAATTTGCCAGTAATATGATTCATTTCACTTTTCATGTGTATTTGTGTGTGTGTGTATTTGTGTGTGTGTGTGTGTGTGTGTGTGTGTGTGTGTGTGTATACTTTTTTTTTCATCTTTTTGAGACAGGGTCTCCCAGTAACCCCATCTTGCTTGGAACTCACAGAGATCCGCCTGCCTCTGTCTCCCAAGTGCTAGGACTAAAGGCGTGCCTCACCATGCCCGGTTTCACTCTTCATATATTACTTTGAAATATGAGATAGTGCTTTTTCAGGAGATGAGAATTCACCTACAACTCAAATGTTTGTGCCTATCTGGTAAACAGTTTCTTCTTCATGTTCTTTTTTACTTTATAATATCCTTCCATGCTGAACCTTTTGACTTTTTAAATTTTTCCTTTCTTGAAGTTTAGTTTTCATTTTGGCTCTCCTTTTATATTTCTGTGCCCTACACATATCCAGTCTTCATCCTAAGAATCATGTCTTAGAAATTTGCCTCTTCTACTTATAGCATGTGCCATTGCCCAGTAATTTGGTAACTTGGCAAGTCAGCATCTGGTTTGCTCATTATTAGATTATTCTGTCAGTATTCTGCATCTCATGGCTTGTGAAATGAACTGTGCCTTTGACTTCCTTAGTAAATTTTGCCCCAAATGATTAGAGGTTCCAGTGATGAAAATATTACTCTCAAGATTATACTTATTCTTCTTGGGGTTTTTTGTGGGAAGGGTAGAGGGGTTTTGGGGTTTTTGTTGTTGTTTTGAGACAGGGTCTCGCTATGTAGCCCTCGACTGGCCTGGAACTCACTGTGTAGACCAGGCTGGCCTCAATCTCATGAAGATCCACCTGCCTCTGCCTCTGCCTCCGGAGTACTGGGATTTAAAATGTGTGCTACCAAGCCCAGCGATCTATGCTTACTCCTTGATAATAACCATGGCTAATTTTTTAAATTACTCTTAAGTAGGTAGGAAACAGACTATTGTAATCAGCCCCTGTCTTTGTCCTGGTAGCAGCTTTGCACAGTTGACACAGAAGTCTTCAGTCTAACCCAGGATTCACAACTCGCTAGCAGTTTCATCTGGGGATATTTTGTGTAACCTCTCAAGTTTTAGGATCCTTGTTTGTAAGATGGGGACTATACTACTAGCCTTTTTGGCTGTTATACACATTCAATATGATAATGAGTATAAAGTATATAATAGAATAGAAAAGTACAAAGTTAAATAATTCATAGCCCCACCTTCAAGAACCTTATTCTACAGGAAATCTAAACAAGTAGTCTTCTTTAAAATTGTCCTTTGGTGGCTGGGAACATAGCTCAGTGTTAGAGAGCTTGTCTAATATATGTAAGACTCTGGATTCAGTCCCCAGCACTGAAAAAAAAAAAAAATGTCTTCAGACATATCAGTGGGTTGTAAAATCACCTTAGCAGGTGAAGTCCAACAGTTTTTAAAAAAATGAGTAATATAGAATAACATCAAAGGCAGAACCAGTAGGCATCATGGCATGGCATTTTTGTTTATGTACACATGATTGTAACTACTGAATGACTAAGTCTGATTTTGGCTAGAGCTAATTTTTCGTGACTAGATCACATTAAAGATTTTAAGATTATAAAGTTTAAACTGAGCTGGGCATGGTGGCACATGACTTTAATCCTGGTAATCAAGATGCAAGCTGATCTATGTGAGATTGAGGCCAGCCTGTTCTACATAGCAAGTTTCAGCCCAGCTGGGGCTATAGAGAGACCCTGTGTTAAAAAGACCCCCCCCCCCAAATTTGTTTTTAAATTGGGAATTGTGGCAAATGCCTGTAATTCTGGTACTCCGGAGGTTGAGATAGGAGGATTGCTAGCCTGGGATATCTAGGGAACCTTCGTTTCTGAAAAAAAAAGTGTGTGTTTAAAATACCACACACAAAAAAAAATCCTTATTTATGTGGGTCTTTTTTTTTAAATCTTTTTGAAGCAGGGTCTCCCTGTAAGCTCCAGCTGTCCTGGAACTCACTATGTAGACCAGGCTGGCCTTTAACTCACAGAGATCCACCTGCCTCTGCATCCCAAGTGCTAGGACTACCGGCCTGCACCACCACGCCTGGCTACATCGTTTCTTTTTAAATACAGTTTTTCCCTTCAGCAAGCCATCAATTAAATGGCTTTTAAAAAGTTCTTTTATTTCAAGTTGTACCATCATTTCTGTATTACTGCTTATTCACTGTATGCTTGACTTTTAACATCTTAGAGATTCTAGCTCTGGCTAATTTTTACTGACCATATTTAAGGTTTAATTTTCTGTCTGTACATAACCTGTTGTTCCAGCCCACATTTTGGCTGGGTCATTGACCTTATTCCCTTCAGTAATTCTGAAAGAATACTGCAAACCTTACTGTAAGTTTTTGAACTTCGGACAGATTAAATTTCTAGTGTTTTAAGCCACTAGCCTCTGGTAACTTGTTATAGCAGCTGCAGCAAACTTAAATAATATCCTTTTGAATTCATGTCTTAGATGGCTTTATCTGATTCTGGATCACAAGCTCATGTTTTTTAAATTGATAAATGCAGCTTTTTTTAGTTGGCTAATTCAAGTCAGTGTAAATGTTTATTGTGAATTGTCTGTTTTTCTCTTGATTCTAGGCTGCCAAACTTTTTGATGAAGAAGGAAGGAAAAAATTCTTTACACAGGATATGAATAATATTCTTCTGGAGTAAGTAATTTTTATTTTTTTTATTTTTTATTCTTTTGGTCTTTTTGAGACAGGGCTTCCCTGTAGCCCCAGCTGATCTGGAACTTGCTATGTAGACCAGGCTGGCCTCAAACTCACAGAGATTCGCCTGCCTCTGCCTCCCAAGTGCTGGGATTAAAGGCGTGCACCACCATGACTGGCTTTTACCTTTTTTTAAAAAATATTTTATTTATTATTTTTATTTTATGAGTGTATGTATTTTATTTATGTATGAGTGTATTGCATGTGCACCCGTGACATGCAATGCCCTCGAAGACAGAAAAGGCAGTCAGATCCCCTGGAACTGGAGTTACGGACAGTTGTTAGCTGCCATGTGGGTGCTGTGGTTCAAACTTGGGTCTTCTGAAAGAAAAACCAGTGTTCTTAACCGCTGAGCCATCTCTCCTGCCGCATAATTTTTATCTTTTATTTTAAAACCTTGTCTGGGTCTATAAAGTACTTGCCTAGTATGTGTGAGGCTGAATGTTTGAGTCCCAGCACCCCGCCCCCCCAAAAAAAAAACATTTCTGGGGGCTGAGGATATAGTCAGTTATTAGAGTGCTTGCTTAGCATTCCCAAAGCCCTGGGTTTGAGTCCAGGTACTGCATAAACTGGGCATGGTGGTACACACTTGTAAGTTTCAGCATTCTGGAGGTAGAGGCAGAAGGATCATTCAAGGTTATTCTCAATTACATATGTTTTTCAAGGCCAGCCTGGCCTACATGAGACTGTCTCAAATAAATCAGAAATCAGATATAAACCTCACACAGAGTTGTGGTACATGCCTCTAATATCAGCACCCAAGAAACTGAGGCGGGAGAATTGCAAGTTTGAGGTCAGCCTGGCGTGTGTAATGAGAGCCTGTCTCAAAAACGAAAACCCCAAATCTTTATGAATGACTCATTTAGCCAGATGTGGTGGTGCTTGTCTTTAATCTCAGCACTTAGGAGGCAGAGGCAGGTGGATCTCTATGATTTTTGAGGCCAAGCTTGGTCTTCATAGCAAGTTCTAACCCAGCCAGGGCTACATACATAGTTAGACCTTGTCTCCAAAAACAAAACAAAAAACACAACCAAAACAAAACAAAAACCAAACCAAACCAAACCAAACATGAAACAAAACAACAAAGCAAACAAAACAAATACATATATACACAGCTCAGTTAAAGGCTCAGGCTAACAACCAAAATATATATATATATAAATTTTAAAATATAGTTGAAGACCAAGGGTAAAAGTGTTTGTCATGCAAGCCTGATTACCTGTGTTTGATCGCTGGAACCCACTGGGTCATGAGAGAACTAACAGTTGTCATCTGCCGTCCACACACAAGCTATGACCTGTGCTCACCTACCCCAACCCAAGAGAATAATAAATATATAGTTAAAGGAATGGGAATGTAGCTCAGCTTGTACAGTGCTTGCCTAGCAAGTACAGGACTGTTACCTCCTCAGCACTCCATAAAACTGAGGGTGGTGCTACATGCCTATTATCCTGGCTCTCTGGAGGTGGAGCAGGAGGACCAGGAAATTCAATGTCATTGTCCTAGTTTGTTCTTCATTGCTGTGACAAAACACTCTGACCAATACCAACTTGGGGAGGAAAGGGTTTATTCAGCTTACATCTCCCAGGTCACAGTTCATCAGGGAGCCCAAGGTAGGAACTCAGGGCAGGAACCTGGAAGCAGGAGCTGGAGCACAGGCCATGGAGGAACACTGCTTACTGGCTTGCTTTCCTGGCCCCTGCTCAGCCTGCTTTCTTATGCAACACAGGCCCACCTGCCCGGGGTAGCACCACCCACAGTGGGTTTGGCCCTCCCACATCACTCACCAAGAAGATGCCCCTCAGACATGGCCATAGGCCAGTCCAATAGAGGAAATTCCCCAATTGAGGCTCCCTCAACCCAGGTGTGTCAAGTTGACATTAAAGCTATCCAGCACAGTCATCCTCAGCAATATAGTAAGTTCTAGGTCAGCCTGGGTTACATGTAACCCTGTCTTAAAAAAACAAAACAGCAGGGGGCTGGAGAGATGGCTCAGTGTTAAGAACACTGTTCTCTCAGAAGTTTGAATCCCAGCACCCACATGGCAGCTAACACTGTCTGTAACTCTAGTTCCAGGGTATCCGTCAGCTTCTTCTGACCTCCGAGGGCATTGCACAACACAGGTGCGCTGACCTACATGCAGGCATAACACTCATACACATAAAATAAAAATTATAAAATGTTAAAAAACAACAACAACAAAAAAGCAGACCTTCTTGCTGTGAAGGCAAGTTTGTAAAGGCACTTGCTGCCAACCATAATGACCTGAGTTGGATCCCTGGTAGAAGGAGAGATCCAACTTCTTCAAGTTGTCCTCTGACCTCCACATATGAACCATGCCAAGCACAGACACAGACAGACACACACACACACACATTAAATAAATGTCATTTAAAAACTTTTTAGGGGCTTGGTGTGATGGCACATACCTTTAATCCCAGCACTTGGGAGGCAGAGGCAGGTGTATCTCTGAGTTCAAGGCCAGCCTGGTCTACATAGTGAGTTCTAGGACAGCTGGGGCTACAGGGAGACCCTGTCTCAAAAAGACCAAAAAAAATTTTTTTTTAATATTTTTATTTTACGTGTATGAGTATATTGCCTGCATGTATGTGAGTGCACCCGTGTTGTTCAATGCCTTAGAGGTCAGAAGAGGGCTTCGGATTCCCCTGGAACTGGAGTTAAGATCAGTTCAGTTCGTAGCTGCCATGTGGGTGCTGGGAATTGAACTCGGGTCCTCTGCAAGAGCAATCAGTGCTCTTAACCGCTGAGCCATTTCTCCAGCCCCATTTAAAAAAATTTTTAGTTGGCCTGTGAGGTATAGATATTTATAGCTTCCAAAGCAAGTAACCACCTGTGCAGGTTGAATTTTAGCCTGTTCTTAAATATATTTTGTTTCACCTTATATGAAAATGTCTTGCAATGAAAGTGTAGAATATTTATTCTAATTAGTGTAATTTTCCATCTATTTCCATTACTCAGAATTGAGAAAACTAATTCTGTGGCTATTTAGTGAAGTTAATTATAATTCATACTAAATTTTATGGCCAAATGGAAAATATGCTTCAATGAAGAAATCCTGGCTATAGGTAGAATGGAGGTTATATGAAAGGGACAATAATCAGATAGGGAGAGGGTGAATACTCATAAATGACAGAATTTCTATTTAAATGAGTAGACTTTAGACTTAATATCAGTAATTTTGAACTCAGTTTGATACTGATGAAGCTACAATTTTTTTTTTTTTTTTTTTTTGGTCTTCTTGAGACAGGGTCTCCCTGTAGCCCCAGCTGTCCTGGAACTCATTGTGTAGACTAGGCTGTCCTTGAACTTACAGAGATTCGCCTGCCTCTGCTTCTCAAGTGCTGGGATTAAAGGCCTGTGCCACCACGCCTGAAGCTACAGTTTCTTAAGTCAAATAAGCTGTACTTTAAACTCTTGACTTATAGATGTTTAACCCATTGGTTATAGGGTCAAGCATACAATTGGTTGCAGTGAGAACTAGGGAATAATATGATGGCAGAGTACCCAAATTTGACTTATCTGATGAAAATAATTTGTCTGCTGTGGTTTTATATAGTATCAGAAAGAAAGCTGCAGGAAAGCATTGTTTCTGTGATTCTTGTCTATTAAATACATAATATACTTTTGGGGGCTGGAGAGATGGCTCAGCAGTTAAGAATACTGACTGTTCTTGCAGAAGACCTGGGTTTGAATCCCAGCACACACATGGCAGCTAACAACTGTCCATAACTCCAGTTCCAGGGGATCCGACAGCCTCTTCTGTCCTCCTCAGGCATTCCACGATATGGGTGCTCTTACGTACATGCAGGCAATACACTCATACAGACAAAATAAAATAGTATTAAAAAATAAAATAAATCTGTGCTTTCTCATGAGATATTAAAAAAGTGTTTGCTTTTTTTCATTATTTATAATTAATTGCAGTCTGTTACCCTAAAGTATTTAAAATTAGATTCAGCAAACATGACAGTATTTCTAGTACAGTGGCAGAAGAATTATGCTCTTCTTGCTTTAGCCAGGGATTCTGCAGTTGAATGGTCCCACTTAGAACAAGGTACATGCTTCAGGTCTGTGCTGCTGCCTTTTACCTAGCTTCCTTTTAAATTGCAGACTCCGTTAACAGTGCAGCTGTTCCAGATCCCGTACTCAGATCTAACTAGTCCTCCTTTTTTCCATCTTAGAGCCCTATGTGTACTAGGTCAGCTTTTTCTCTTGTGGCTGAGATCCCCTTCAAGAATCTAGAGATCATCTTTGGGATATGGCATCTCAGCCAAACAGGCTATTAGCATTCCTGTAGCAGGCTTCTCTGTTCATTTCTTCCATGTCTATTGTAAAGCAAATCTCTGAATTTGAAGAGCCCATCTACTTATTTCACAAAAGGTGTACATCCAGTTCTTCAGGCCCTTGGGCTCAGAGTTGAATTCTTTTTCTCTTTTAGTCTCTATATTCTTGTTACTGGCCTCTTTTTTTCACTGTCCTAAACAAACATGCCTTACTTTTCTGGACTGAATTACTTTTTAAGGGCTTATGAAAAGAGAGCAGTTTCTTAGTTTACCCTTTTTCTTTTTTTGTAGTTGAATTTGACCTGATTTAACATATACTGACTTGGTTTTCTTCCCTGTTTTTTGAAGCAGACATTCCTAATGCCACTCTGCTCCTTATTGTGCCTAATGCTTCTACTCAAATCCCTAGACCTATACAAACTTCTTACTGAACACTCACTGTGAGACCTGAGAGCAATCTCTTTGGTGCTCTTTGAGTAATGACTTGCATGACAATATCATGAGATCTTAGCATTGGTTTCTGTATCTGAGTTAACCTTTTATGGAAACCAGCGACTTATAAATAGCTCAGTGAAAGGCTGGGCATGGTGGCACACTCACACCTTTAATCCCAGCAAGTCAGCCAGCAAAGGCAGGCATTGCATCTGTGAGTTCAAGGCCAGCCTGGTCTTCATAGTTCCAGGAAAACTGGGGCTACAGGGAGACCCATCTCAAAAAGACCATAAATAAATAAATAAATAAATAAATAAATAAATAA